GAGTCTCTTGGGTGGGCAGAGGGAGTTGTTCTGCGGCTACTTCTATCACCAGGGATCACTCCTCAATCGACCTTCAAGGACTGGAGATTGCCCTTGTGGTTTATGTGCGAGATCGCGACCTATCTTTGTTTCACAATCACATACTGAGATGTGGTTATGGTTGGGAACAGAGCAAAAGATGAGATGAGAGCAATGAAGGGGCTAGTGACTTGGTGAGGCAGAAGGGAGGGGGGGAGGGGGGTTCTGTTGGGAGGGGTGTGCAAGGTTACAAAAACATCAGCATGATGGTTGCTTGTGTGTTTCGGTCGGTTCACTGCTTCTCTCTGCAGCCAGGTGCACAGGTGAAGGGACTGAAGGAGGGATCGGAGCCGCCGAAATTTTGGGAATTCCTAGGCGGGAAGGCAGGATACCCGAATACGAGAGAGACAACTGCCATCTCCCGAGATGCTCGGCTTTTTGTCTGCTCGAATGTCACAAGTAAGTCGTAATTGCATGAGATTGTTTTCGCTGCGAGTCGTGGCACCTGATGGATGGATGGGAAGCAACTGTAGCGTAGACAGCTCTGCTTTATGGTTTTCCTGATGTTTGTGCGCATGTTGCACTAGGGTTTATCGTTGTAGACAGCAAGAAGAGGATTGTGCTGAATAATAGTGTGAATAATACTGATTATCGGAAAAGTTTCAGCATCAAAATTTTTGGAACACATGCACAACATATTGGCAAAGGAAGTCCTACTCCCTGAGAATAGCTGGAGCATGAATGCAACCCACCTTGTCCAAATATGGGCAAGGTTCAAGGTGCTGTAGCACTTCGTACCTGTGGTCGAGCTGCATCAGGAAAGTGCCCTTCGATTCCATGCCATTGCTGTTTCGAGGGTCTGTCGCTTTGTTGCCTCGATTTGCAAGTGTGCCGCTTTTGAATGGCATGCTTTTGTTGAGTACTTCTTTGCTATCCCTCATTGCGTTTTTTTTTCTTCGTGTGTGCGTTTTTTGTCTCTCTCTGAATTCAATGCTGAATGGACGTTTTGGAAGTTTTCGCAGTTGTAAGGCCGTTGGATCGCTGTGGAAAACCTTTTGCTTTGTTTGGGCTGCTGCAGTGAGGCTGTGTTTCTCTGTCTTTTTCTTTTTTTTGCCGTTCTCCGGGGACTGTGGATTCTGGTGCAAAAGGATTTTGCCAGACGGGTGGGAACTCTTGATGCTACTACATCAGCTATTGGAATGCTGCTAAAGTGTTGATCGATTGCTCATCCATCTGGGAGGTACCGTGGTCTATACTTAGTCTCATACAATCTCTGCTATTCCCACAGCAACGTGGCCTATCACGCTTTTGTTCTCCTCCATGGGTTTTATGGTGTTTCTTTTGCACTTCCAAGCTGCCTCAGCATGTTTTTTGTCACCTATGTATGCCATTTTGTATCTGATGGTTGAGACTAAGAGTTGTCCCCCTCGTCCATTGCCTGTGACCATGTGCAATCCTCTGGTGACGACCTTGGGTACTCGTCTTCAGCCACGATGAAGGTATGTATGTTTCTCTATCTGAGCTTACACATCAAGCCAATCAAAGAGAAGTAAATGTTCTGTCAACAATACTTATGATGCGATCATGGATCCCCCGTCTTCTTTTAAATGCTTCAAGACAACAGCTCCAAATGTTTTCACCGGGGGCCTGGAGGGGAGGGGACATGTACAGAACTGTAGGGTGGCAAACTAGCGGCCCGGATGAGGCATGTGGCGGCTGGCGAGGAAAAGTACTGGGAACTGCATTGTTGGATCACAGATCATGACAGTAAAAACTGCCAAAAAGTTGAGAAAGTTCAAAAAACTACTGAGAAACAAAACAATCGGGTTCTTGCCACTGAAGCCCAAGTTCTACCTTGTCAGGGTTTGGTAAACACACAGGTTTGGAGGCAGTTGTGGTCTAAACCACCACACCATTTTGCAACTGGCAAGGTAAACATGTGGGCAGTTGTACAGGTAAGCTCAGCAACCACCTGCTGACATTAACCAAGGCACAGAGGCTGGTCACGGAAAACGAAGTGGCGGTTTATTATCTTTCTCATGTTGCCCCGCCTAAAAATCCAAACTGGTGTGGCGTTGGCAGATAAGGTGTGGTGGGCTGAACCTTTTGCACCACGTGTTCAATAGTGGAGGGGCACAGTCTAGGTGGGCTGGGTAATGGTGGTGTACAGGCATATTTTAGAAGAGTCAATGAACTTCATTGTGCAGGTGCATTTGGAAAGGGCCTAAGGGTCAGGTTGTTCTGTTTGGGGGTAAGTTACGATATGCACAAGATGTATGCCCTGGGCCTTGCTCCACCAAGTTTGAGAAATGGGGACTGCATCTAAATCATAGTTGTGGCGCACTGCCGCGGTGTGCTGTGCGGTGTGCCATGTGTGTGCCCACACACAACAAAAGAAGATAAAACAAAGAAAAACACGTAGAGCCTTGTGCATGTCTGGGTGTGGGATGGAGAGAGAGAGAGAGAGAGAGAGAGAGAGACGGCAACTTATGGTCACCTGCATGGATGGGACTCTATACAGGTGCCTTTGAGTCGTGAGGTGGCCGTTCTCTCTCTCTCTCTCTCTCTCCTGTGAAGTCGAATACAGTAACGATGGTGTGTTGTGTTTAGGTGTCAAATACTCTCTCTCTCACTCTCTCTCTCTCTCTCTCTCTCTCTCTCTCTCTCTCTCTCTCTCTCTCTCTCTCTCTCTC